CAAAAAAAGTAGGGGATATTGAAATGGAAATGCCTATGCAGGTTGTGATATGATAAGTGTCAGGGACACTTGAAATGCTTTGAAAGTATTTTCACAGATGAAGAACTTATCGCCCCAACAGAACCACTGAGCTGCATGTGCGACACGCAATAGCGCCATACACGTGGGAGGGGTTCATTGTCAAATTTGACCTTCAAGGAAGGGTTGATGAAAACTGCCGCGTGCTGGTTTATCCTATCTATATTTACTTTCCAATCGGTTCTTGCGTAAGATTTACTGTTTAGCGTATCTTTGCTTTAGTGTGTTACGTTTAATTTGCAATGAAACGTCTTCAACAAGATGAACGTCTACGTGCTATTGACAGGCTTAAATTGGTTCTAAACAGCGAGCAGTAGCCAACATGCTTAACAGACTGTGTAACCGGTACCAACAAACACACAATGTTGATGATAGACCTCGTTCAGGTCGTCCTAGAGCCACTACACAAGCCCAGGATCGATACATTCGTACACAGGTCCTGCGAAATCGAGGACAAACGGCCAATCAGCTTTCTGTAAACTTGTACCAAGTTAAAGGAATTCGAATTACACCCCAAACTATTAGAAATCGGCTTCATGCAGCGCATTTGCATGCGCGACGACCGCGTGTTGTGCCTCCATTAACTCGCCAGCACATGGCAAACAGGCGTCAATGGTGTAGGGAGCGTAGAAATTGGGGTAATCGTCGATTTTGTGATTCTGATTACTTTGATACTGCATGATTATATACTGATTATGTGATACTATATGATTATATACTGATTCTGCGATACTATATGATTACATACTGATTCTGTGATACTGTATGATAATATACTGATTCTATGAAACTATATAATTATATACTGATTCTGTAATTCTGATTACTGTAATACTCTAGGATTATATACTGATTTGTGATTCCCAGTTCTGTGATACTCTATGAGTAAAATAATTTATATACTGATTCGATTCTGTGATAAAATATGATAATATATACTGTGGTACTGTATGATAAGATAGTGATTGGTGAGATACTATGATAATATACTGATTAGTGAGATACTATGATAATATACTGATTCTGTGATACTATGTGATAATATACTGATTCTGTGATACTTTGTGATTATATACTGATACTGTATGATAATATACTGATTATGTGTTACTTTATGATTATATACTGATACTGTATCATACTGTATTAATTTTGTGATACTATATGATTATAATACTGATACTGTATGATTATAATACTGATACTGTATGATTATACATGTATACTGTGATACTGTAGGATTATACAATGATTCTTTGATGCACTGATACTATATGATTATATACTGATTCTGTGATTCTATATGATTATATACCGATTACTGTGATACTGTAGGAATATTTACTGTTTCTGTAATATTGATATATGATTTCTGTGATATTGATTTATACTTTTCAGTTTATTGTTATCATTACTTATTAAATTTAATTTTAAAAAAAATTCTGGGTAATATTTATATTTTTGATGATAGAATTTATTGGTATCATTTTTATAGAGGATTTTAAACCATTCTTTCGTGGTTAAAGCTGACCTTTGAAGAAATGTAATTAGAGGATATTCATGAGTTAGACGTTATCTGTAACGTTTAGGGGGAAGAATTTAATGCATGATATACGGAACTTTTCAGGGGGAGAATTGAAAATCTGCTATTGACGTTATCGGTAACGTATTAGGGTGGGGATTTAGAACATGCCATTGACGCTATAAAGAATGTTTCCGGGGGAGAATTGAACACCTGCTATAGACGTTATCGGTAACGTTTTAGGGTTGGGATTAAAGACGTGCTATTGACGTTATCGGTAACGTTGGGGGATGGGGGGGGGGTATTTAACACAAGCTATAGACGTTATCGATCACGTTATAGGGAACGTTTAAGGAGGTGGGGGTGTCACGCATGCTATTGACGTTATCGGGAACGTATAAGCGGTAAAATTTAACACATGCCGTAGACGTTAACGTTTACGGAGAGGAATTTCTCAAATGCTGTAGAGGTTATCTATAACGTTTTCCGGGGGAGAATTGGACACCTGCTTTAGACGTTAAAGGAACGTTTACCGAGAGGATTTTAACACCTACGCTAGACGTTATCTGTAACGTTAAAGGAGGGAAATAAAACACATGCTATAGACGTTATCTGTAACCGTAAAGGGGAGGAACTTAACACATTCTCCTGAGATTATCTGTAACGTTTGAGTTAGGAGAATTTAACACCTGATATAGACGTTATCAGGAACGTTTAAGGAGGGGAATTTAACACATGCTATTGACGTTATTCGGAACGTTAAGGGGGTAAATTTTAACACATTATAGACGTTACCGGTAACTTCCTCATAACATAAAGCGAACCCCAAAAAAGAGGTTTAGATAACGTCTTGGGAGTATTTTATGAAAACATTTCAAATCCGTGCCAGGAATGTATTTTATAATGTTGGGAGAACGACAAAAAAACTTTCCCAGTTGACGTCAAGCGAACCTTTATGTTCAGAAACATTTTCTAAAACCATTTTGAACAGACAGATAGAAGATTACGGAAATTCGTGCTACGAACCTTTACACTAACGTCTAGTTAACGTATCCTGTAACGTTTGTAAATAACGTTGGGCTGACCCCATAAAAACTTTCCTGGCTCACGCCGGACAAACATTAAAAACTTACGTCAAATAATAAAATAACTAACGTTGACCTTACGACAAAAAAAAACTTTCCTGGGTTACGTCCGATAAACATTCAAAACTAACGTCAAATAACAAAATAACTAATGTTTTGAAAACGTTAACCTTAATGTTCAGTTAACGTAAATTGCAACGTTTGTAAATAATGTTAACCTTGCGACAAAAAAACTTTCCTGGGTTACGTCCGACAAACATTCAAAACTAACGTCAAATAACAAAATAACAAATGTTTTGAAAACGTTAACCTTAATGTTCAGTTAACGTATCTTTTAACGTTTGTAAATAACGTTGACCTTACGAAAAAACTTTCCTGGGTTACGTCCGACAAACATTCAAAACTAACGCCAAATAACAACATAACCAATGTTTTGACAACGTTAACCTTAATGTTCAGTTAACGTATCTTTTAACGTTTGTAAATAACGTTGACCTTACGAAAAAAAAAACTTTCCTGGGTTACGTCCAACAAACATTCAAAACTAACGTCAAATAGCTTTCCCAGTTGACGTCAAGCGAACGTAGTGTTACGGGAACGTTTCAGAAACATTTTCTAAAACCATTTTGAACAGACAGATAGAAAAAAAAACTTTCCTGGGTTACGTCCGACAAACATTCAAAACTAACGTCAAATAACAACATAACTAATGTTTTGAAAACGTTAACCTTAATGTCCAGTTAACGTATCTTGTAACGTTTGTAAATGACGTTTACCTTACGACAAAAAAACTTTCCTGGGTGTACGTCCGACAAACACTCAAAACTAACGTCAAATATCAAAATAACTAATGTTTTGAAAACGTTAACCTTAATGTTCAGTTAACGTTTCTTGTAAAGTTTGTAAATAACGTTGACCTTACGACAAAAAAACTTTCCTGGGTTACGTCCGATAAACATTCAAAACTAACGTCAAATAACATTAATGTTTTCAAAACGTTAACATTAATGTTTTCAAAACGTTAATATTAATGTTCAGTTAACGTATCCTGTAGCGTTTGTGAATAACGTTGGCGTTACGACACAAAACTTTCCTGGGTCACGTTCCACAAACATTCTGAACGAATGTTAAATAACGAAATACTAATGTTTTGAAAACGTTCGGAAAACTAAATTTTGTTAGCTATATCGAAAAATTCAATGAGATAACTTTGAATAAAACTTATATTTTTGGAATCAGACTGACCTCTGCTGTTCGAATATTTAGGTCAAATTTGTAAATTTTGAAATTTAAGGACATAAATTGTCGGAAATAGGAGACTACGGTCTATGGTGTTTATTTTCACGTCCGTTAAAGTGGAGTTTTTACTGTTTTTCATGTTCAATTCATAATGGTGACCATTAAGTGACCGAAATCAAAATTCTGCTCAGAATGTTTTTTAGGCATTCTTTCAAGGATTCAGATTATGTAACTCCGATGTCTGTAAGTAAGATATTGCAAAAGCCTAAGGGATTGTCACGTTTCGAGATGGTGCCATTTCCAGTTCAATCGACAAACTCCATACTATATGTACGCATCGGTAATTCCTTAACTAGTATAAAAATAAATTTCAAGATGGTGGCACTTCCTGTTCGATCGATAGACTTCATATTTTGTGTTCGCAAAAAAATTTCCAAGGCAACCTGACCTATATTTTGTCGATTTTTTTGAAAATTTGTCCTTAATTTCTCCAATGAGAGATAATTTCTAATGACATCGTTGAAGTTGGATCAATCAGATCTGCTTACATTCCCAATTTCATGAAAATCGTACTAATATCCAAAAAGTTGGCATGTTGGTTTTACTTCGGAATGAGATGTCAATGACGTATTATTCGAAATTCGAAAATCGGAAATAGCAGATTTAAAGTAAATGTTTTAAGGTTCTCAAAGAAAAAAGAATTAGTAAGTCACAAATTTACAGCTATGTAGGTCAATTTATTCATAAGTAAATTTCGGTGATTTCCTTGGAAGGAGGCTAACCAGAAATGTATTAATTTCGGAAATAGGAGACCAATTCACAAAACGGCGGCCTATTTCGATTATTATCAAGTCGTTAATGGGACTTTTTCACTCTTAATCAACTTTGTTTCTTAAAACGTTTTGAAAATATATTCATTCAAAAGTCACAACCATTCTCGGAACCGGGGGGGGGGGGGGGTAAGTAAAAGTTTCAGAAAGCTGTCATATTCACGATCACTTCCTGTCACATGTCAAGGTATATATAAAGAATCTCAAAAAGGTAAAAGAATAATTAAAATCGGCAAAAAAACTTACTGAGTTATAACGAGAAACATTTCAACCGGGCATATATTCTAATTATGGCCGACAGTAGCTAGACGTGTTTTTGTTAGAGGTCCACTTGTTCGTGAGAAATGTACATAACACACATCATGAAGCTGTCTAAATGATCCTACAGTCTACTACAATGAACTTAAAATAAGTAAGATACATAATCTCATCTTCTGTTGATGAATTGGGAATTACCTACAAATACTATAACCTAACATCAGCAATCATACACTGGAGCAGCCATTTTTGTTTACACAAGGCATCGGCGTCTTTAAACCTTATAACTGTGTAATCCGGTATATGAACAGGCCAATAAACGAAAGTTTTTTTCCAGTATATAACGTTTATTTAACAGCAAATATAAAAAACATAAAATCCATGTCTACCCCGAGGCGGGACAAGGCCAGTAGGAAACGAAAACAAACAGGTTCTCCACTCCAAATCCAGACAGAACTCCTATTGTCATCTGGTATACTGGACAGCAACCTGAAAAAAAGCAAAACACAACCACAGCAAAGCCAAATTACAAGTTTCATGTCCTCCACTACCCTGCCCTCAGCTGATCCAGACAATAACACCAGCCTAGAATATCAAGAAAATACAATAAGTGCCTGTTCAACACCCATGACTGACACCAAAGACATATCCACCCCGCCCCCACCAAGCCCACTCGCAGACAATGTATTCATGAATACAGTAAATGCTGTAACTCTTGAATTGGTAAGAGCTTTTCAGAATCCAGAAGTGCAAAATGCCTTCAGACCCATGGTGGAACTTATTCTGCAAGAAGAAATAATCTAACACACCACCACACTTAAAAAAGAAATATCAGAATTAAAACTTGAGTTGGCATCAATTTCCTTTGAGCTGAATGGTATCATACAAGACCGCTGCGATGATCTCGAACAATATGGCAGGCGCAATTGTATCCGCATCAGTGGCATTAAAGAAACTGCAGATGAAAATGTTGAAAATGAAGCCTTGGCTGTATTAAGGAAGATAATACCAAACATTACAACACATGACATCGAAAATAGCCACCGTGTCCGAAAAGCCCACAAGGGACAACCTAAACGTATTATAGTAAGACTATCTAGCTACAAGACCAAGGTTGTTATAATGAGGGGCAAAAAGGTTGTAAACGGGGTAAAAAATGATATATTCATTAATGAAGATCTTACAAGGTACAGAGCTTTTGTCTTCAACATAGCACGGAGATCTTACAAGGCAAATCACATCAACTCTTGTTGGACCAGAGATGGTAAAATCTTTATTCGAATCAGAAAACCTGATGGTTCTGATGGACAAACTAAACGAATATTCAATGCAACTGAGATTCCTGGTTATAAACCAACTCCAGAGGAACTTCTTCAGTTTAACATATCAAATGGTATTACCACTGACCCACCTGAAGATATGGCTCAATAAACTTCCACAACAGTAACTGTACCAGTGTCTTTACAAATTTTCCTACAAAATAGATTATTTCATATATAAATCATCCCTAAAAAAACATAAAAAAATAAATAAAAATATCCAATAAGCCTGTCTAACAAATTGCAAATGTAAATCAAAATAAATTATAAACTTCTTGAAACTAAAAAATGCCCTGGCCATGAAAAGCCCAAAATAGGTTAATGTATGAAACACTGCTTAAACTAGGTGTCTTCTATCTAATGTCTAAAGCCCCATGGTGCCTTAGACTGAATTCTACTTCAGTAGATAGCCCTATTTTGATGATACATAGTCATAATACCCTTAACCTACTAACTGTTGCAAATGCACATAAGTTTTAGGAAATCAAATAGTTTAAGCTCTTGTACATGAAACAGCTCAGAATAATCCTGTCTAACAAGTTGATAGAAAACAGCCTCTAATAATTGTAGAATTTATTGCATATGTATATCAACCTTGAAATTTTAAGAGCTCAAGCTTTGACTAGTACCCACTACTTATCTATGTGCAAATTCCTAAAGGAAGATGTATCATATATGTCACCACAAAATAATGTTTCCATTTTATTTGGAGGAGCTAAACTTGTTTGACTTGTATTACAATGAAGTATAACCTTTGACCAACAATGTTAGGCCAGCAGGAAATAAATGACAATGTCTTAAAATAACAATGATAAACAGTTTTTCAAAACCAACATTCTAGCCAATGCTTAAAATCCTTGTAACACAGGTCAAAGAGTATCTAGCCCTACAAAAATATAATTGCTGTATATCATATGCAATGTGTTTCTATCTGTATTTAATCTTTCACCTTCGGCCAGATAAAACCGCAGCGATTAAGAGATGCTGACATCTTCAGCCTATTAAATAAAATGCAAATTAAGCCTCATACTATAATCTCCATGCACAGCGCCCTTAATCAGCGATTGACCAGTACTACTATATTAACAAGACAGAAATGCCAAAATTGTGTCTTTGACATCTGGTCAAAGGTAGAAATGTGTTGTAATATTACTCTTGACTCCCCACAACATCAAGTTGAAATACGTCTATGCAAGACAATCGAACTTTGTTGTCACAAATCAACCCTAATCATACCAACTGTTGAATATGTAGATTAAGTTAGAAATTTGAACTGTTTAAATACATGCATCACTATTGAATAATACCCAATATTTATCTCGATAATGTATTATACTGACTAAAGGAACTAAAGTTCTTTGACTTTAGTGACAATTAAGTAGATATTAGTGTATTGTTGTTAGATGAATAGGAAATATTCCTTGTGCAGCCTGTCACACAACAAACAAATCAATGTCTGAAATCAAATGTTACCAAATAATTTTTAACTACGCCTTACTATGAAATAAGTGATAATGTCTCTAAGTGATAATGTCAAATTGATATTTTATATGTTGAAGCTTATTCTCTAAAACCAAGAATCAATCCAAAAGTTCACTTTTTGTTACAAAAATGGAGTATTAAAGTGCTCTTATTATGACCCTAAAATCCCCTTAACTTAAAGTTGAAATAAGTCTATGCAAGACAATCAAACTTTGTTGCCACAAATCAACCCCTTATCATACCAAATGTTGAATATGTAGATGAAGTTAGAAATTTGAACTTTTTAAGCTTGTATTGAATAATATCCATTATTTATCTCTCTCTATATATGCAATTTTGTGATGGAAGATGCCCCATATATGTCACCAGTAAATAATGTATTATATACTGACTAAAGAAACTAAAGTTCTTGGTCTTGGGTGACAATTAAGTAGATATTAGTGTATTGTTGTTAGATGAATAGGGAATATTCTCTGTGCAGCCTGTCACATAACAAACAAACCAATATCTAAAATCAAATGTTACAAAAGGATCTTACTTCTCACCCAGTTCGAAGGATTTTTAGCCCTCCCAAATATGTAATTTGTAAATGTGTCTCCTACCTGTACTTTAGACTTCCTTCCTCCTCTGATAAATCCATAGGGACTAAAGATGCATTAACATTTTCAACCTACAAAATAAAATTCAAATTCAAGTTAAAGTTATAACATAATTAAGGCCTTTCGAAATCATTCTTATTACACCCTACTATGAAATAAATCTTAATGACTGTCAGTGTCTATGGATCGATCTGCCAACAGTTTATTAGAATACTAGTTTATTTTTTATTTTGCTCATATTTTATATTGTTCATATTGCTATCAAACTTAAAATGGGCAAAATTCATGTTTTATCACATATTCACTACAGTATGCCAATCCTTACATAATCCAATATTACACACCTATTTCTCCCACCCTACACACATGTATATATACCAAAAGGCTCACAACAATTGGCCTATGTCACGCTGGTCCTAAATTCATTTATATAAATACAAATTTATAAATTTAAATTGCCGATAGACGGCAATGGCACCAAAAATAATAAGATCTATTCAATACTATACCTACGTTTTTCTCATTCATCATAATCCCATACTCATAGGCTATTCTGTTTCCAAGGTAAGTACTATTAAAGTAGGCCATTGAACATGGAAGAACAAGAGGTAAGTAAAATATGCACACATGAAAGAGTTATAACTCCATCTGTCATACACAAAACATTAGGTGTACGAAAGTGCATTAGCGCCACTTAGATAAGAAACAGTTATTTTACTCACTCCAGAACAGTAAACCATGTCCCCCTTCAAACAATGTTGACCCATATTAACCATACAGCGTGGGTGGCATACTGTCAATTTCATGCGGGATGCTGATCAAGTAGACTTGCTTATCTAGACGCATAACCATCTTCCATAACACATCTCACTGAACAATGTAGAAACCTGAACCATTCACCCTTTCTATTCGCATCCATGTATATATACCCGTACATGTACATATGTTGTATTGTTTTACACCTTTATTTACGACTTGTATTTACGTTTATTTGATTTTATCAATTATATATTTAAACATATTAGTTTGATACATAAAATACTTTCTGAACTGAAGAAAACTGTCAATTCCCTATATACCATACCCTTGGAAACAACTATATTTACGACAAGCAACCAATACCACGTACGTCTAAACAAACACCTGCAATACTGTCAAATCTCAGGGCTATCTTTTGAAGACCCATCATCTGAATCACTATATAAGCATAAGTTCAATAATTTTCCTAATAGGAAGCTTACACATGTAACACTTAGTGCAAATGCTTTGCTCTCAATTACCCTTATAATATACACGTTGTTACTATTGTCAGGAGACATCGAACTAAATCCAGGACCCGTCTCATTAATACATAATCAACTTTCAATTGTTAATCTGAATGTAAGGAGCCTCAAAAACAAAATTGTCTTAATAGCTGTAGAACTAAGACATTTTGACATCATAACAATTAGTGAAACCTGGCTCGATAGAAATACCACATCTGAACCAATTTCTTTAACTTCTTACTACCCACCTATTATGAAAGACAGAAATAATCATGGGGAAGGACTTATTATTTACGTTCGTAATTCCATATCGTTCAAACGCAGGGCAGATCTAGAAAACAGTGAAATAGAGTCTATATGGATAGAAGTAAATTGTAACAACCACAAATGTTTACTTGGCAATTATTATAGACCACCCTCATCAACTTCTAGTACAAACCAACAGATATTTAACTCTCTTCAAAACGCTATAACCGACCCCTTCGACAAATGCATAATTTTAGGTGACTTCAATATTTATATGTTAAAAAAAATCTAAAAGTTTTATTCACGATGCTATAAATATATTACCCCTTACCCAGCTGATAAATAAACCTACCCATTATTCCAGCAAAAACCACACTTCTTTAATAGACTTGATATTAACCAACTCTATATTACGAACAACTGAAAATGGTGTATTGCAAATTGGCATTTAACGTACAAAAAACAACACAGCTTCAAGCGAACGGTATGGAATTACGAAAACGCAGACTTTGGGGGCATAAAAAACGACGTTATAGCTACTAAATGGTACAATCTTATCAATAGTTCAAATGTAGAAGCATCGTGTGTTCAATTTACAAGCTCATTGATCAATATAGCAAAAGCAAATATACCATGCAAAATAGTGACTATTAGGCAACATGACAAACCCTGGATGAATGGCGCAATAAGACGTACGAAAAAGAAAAAAAATAGATTACACAAAAAAGCGGTAAATAGGAATTCAGACTCTGATTGGCAAAATTTCAGGAAAATTAGAAATGACTACATAGACTTAATTAGAAAAAGCAAAAATGATTACTTTGACAAAATAGACAAACAAATTAGTGACACAGAAAACTTTGGAACAAAAACCTGGTGGAAACTTATTAATTCATATACTAAAACACACGCTGCTTCTACAAACGAACCTCCGCCCTTAACAGTAACACTGTGTTTACTCAATCCGAAAAAGCAAATGCTTTAACCTCATTCTTTATCAAACAATCACAACTAGATAACACTAATAAACTCTACCACTGCTTGTTATGAACCCTAACAGCATCGATAAGATTGTACCAAATTCAGAGAAAGTTAAAGACATAATAGACAGCCTAGATATTACAAAAGCCTCAGGACCCGACGAAATAAACGCGAGAATTCTAAAATACATCTCAAAAGAAATCAGTCATTCACTTTGCCAACTTTTTAAACTATCATTAGATCTACACATTGTACCAAACATTTGGAAATTTGCAAACGTGGTCGCTATATTCAAAAAAGGCTCTCCAAACGATTGTAGTAATTAAAGACCAATCTCCCTCTTAAGTATAATAGTCAAAATTTTTGAAAAAATCATCCACAAACATGTCTTTAACTTCCTTAGAGATAACTCAATACTAACACCTGTCCAGAGTGGCTTTCTTCCTGGTGATTCTACCATATTTCAACTAATCGACCTAACACACTTCTTCTGTCGAGCCAATGACCAACATCAATATACTAGAATAGTCTTCTGTGACATCAGCAAGGCCTTTGACAGGGTTTGGCATGCCGGACTCTGTCACAAGCTGGATGCTGCGGGGGTTCGAGGAGAACTACTGCTCTGGTTCGTAGATTATTTAAAATATAGACAACAATGTGTAACCATCAGTGGCACCTCCCCGGACCCCAGAAGCATCCCTGCTGGTGTTCCACAGGAATCTGTACTATGCCCTCTTTTATTCTTAATATACATAAATGATATTGTGAACAATATAAATTCAAACATTAGATTATTTGCTGACGATACCTCTTTATGCTTAAAAATTGAAGACCCAGAGGCAAGTGCTGCTACCATTAACGATGACTTAAATCAAATCAGAAATTGGGCTGAGACATGGCTGGTAAATTTTAACCCCCTAAAAACAGAGACACTGACTATTACTACTAAACCCCATAAAGTTAACCCACCATTGTATGAACCAGGTACAAATCAAAGAAGTAAGTGAACATAAACATCTAGGTCTAATCTTTCAAACTAACTGTAAATGGAATAATCATATAGATAGCATTGTAAACAAAGTATCCAAACTAGTAAATTGCCTTGTTCTCTAAAATATCGATTAAATAAAAAATCTTTAAACATAATATACTCTTCCTTTATCCTTCCACACTTTGATTATGCCGACATTATCTGGGATGGGTGCAGTGATTATTTAGCTAACAAACTAGAATCCCTACAATTAGATGCACTGCGCATTATCCGTGGGGCGGTAAGAGGTACTTACTCTATAAGGAGACTGGGTTTGTTCCACTCTCGGAAAGACGTCGACGTCATAAATTAAAATTAATATACAAAATTACCAACAACCTCGTTCCATCATATCTCACTGACCTATTAGAACTGTCCTCTAGCCCTATCAATTATACCCTTAGAAACAAAGATAAACTAAAGGAAACCAGATGCAGAACCGAAATTTTCTCCGAGTCCTTCATCCCTTCCAGTATACGAGAATGGAATAAACTTAACGTTGAAATTAGAAACTCTCGATCCCTTGCTATCTTTGGAAATTCACTAAATAAATTAGATATCATCGTGCCATCATATTACTATACAGGGATACGAAAATTACAAATAATCCACTGTAAACTAAGATTATGCTGCTCGAACCTACAAGGCCATAAATTCCTCAGACACGTCGATGATAGCCCTGCTTGCCTCTGTGGTCACAAATTCGAAGATACCGAACACTATTTACTCGTATGCCACTTATATTCAGATGCAAGAAAACGTACAATCCATAACCTTCAACATAATCATAAAACAACCAGTTGTCTGTTGTATGGGTCAACAAAACTTAGTCCAAAGATAAAAACACTTATTTTCCACAAAGTCCAACAATTTAATTTCTTATCAAAAAAGATTTAAATCTCCATAAACAACTCTTAAGTCATTCCAAGCTCTGCACTCTGTATAATCATCTAAGTCTCTATATTATCCATGATGTATCATATATGCTCTATATTTATGTAATTATGTATGCAGATATTTATAATGTGTACATATATCTAAATCAGAGAGAGGGGTTACACATAAGCATAGCCTGTTCCCCAGTCCAAATTCACATTTAATGAATAAAAATATTGTTTAAAAAAAACCGGGAAAAATTTGCTGTTATTTGTTACGAATTAAATTGGTCAAAAACTGCCAAAGTAAAAACAATCAGGTATCACATCATATCAGATTTATTGAACAGAATTTTTAACTAGGTTATCAGCGTAAACATTTCAACCGGGCAATATTTTCTGTTTTAACAGTTTAATTTGCACAGTACCTTTGAATACCAAACGATTTTTTTTACAAAACTTGAAAAATAAGCTCCCACTGAACCATTCAATCGTTAGCGATCAACGTTTGACTTGAATTTTTTTAGATAAAAAATGAATTGAATGGTGTCACTTTAATAAACAAATCGGACAACAACTGACTTAGTTATTACGAGAAATATTTCAACAAGGCATCACTTCATGTAGGATGTTACTGATGTTGTCAAGAATGTTTAAAACAAAAAGGAATTATTAAAGGCGCCGAGTTATAAGCAACTAATGTCCAACTCAATCGTTATCGATCAACATTTGACCTGATTTTAAATTTCTGCAGATTTTAAAAAAAAAATTAAATTGAATAATGTGACTTTAATAAAAAACGAAATCGGACAAAATCTGAGTTAAAACAGGAAATGTTTCAACCAGGCATCACTTGTCAAAAAGATGAAAGTGTTAATTACTAAAGTATAACGGTACTAAACATTTCATCCGGGTAAAAATTCCCGTTTTTACATATTCACGATCACTTCCTGTCACATGTCATGTGTTATATAAAGAATCTCAACAAGAAGAAATAATTATTAAAATCGGTCAAAAATTTGCGAAGTTATCAGCCTGAATATAGCGAAAAACATTTCACCCGGGCAACAAAATAATCTGAAAAATGAAGAGAAATAACTGAGACCTGTATTGCTGTAATAAGATTGATTTCCCGTTCCAGAAGTTTCCGAAAAATGGATCAAGCCGATTAAAAACGGGGCGGATCAGAAAATAAAATGAAAAAGGCGGTAAAGAACTCAAAAATGGTGGGAAAATATTGAAAAATTGTTAACAACTTGGTCGGCACGTAAAAGGTCAAAGGCGAAATTCACAATTTTGAAATTGTCAAATACCACGAATTCGACCATTATCCCGACTATCAAGAAATGTATTGATTTCGGTAATAGTAAAAGAATTCTCCAAACTACGGTCCATTGTGTTTATGTTTGCGCCCGTTAACGTGGATTGTTCACTTTTTTCATATTCAATTCAAAATGGTGCTCCCCAGTTGACCTAAATCAATATTCTGCCCTGAACGTTTTTAGGCATTCCTTCAAGGATACAGAAAATGTAAATCCGATGTCCGTAAAAAAAATATTGCAAAAGCCTAAGGGATTGTCACGTTTCAAGATGGTGCCACTTCGCAAACTTCATATTATGTTTAAGCACCAATAATTTCTTAACTAGTTCAAAAATGAATTTTGAAGGCAATCTGACCTACTTTTTGCCGATTTTTATTTTAACAATTTGATCCTTAATTGCTCCAGGGGGGGGGGGGTTACAAGGTAGAAAGTTTATAATGATATCGTTGAAGTTGGATCAACAAGATCTACTTACGTTCCTAATTTCATGAAAATCGTACAACTATTCAAGAAATTGTCATGTTGGTTTTACTTCCGGGATGAGATGTCCAAGACGTAATATTCGAATTTCGAAAATCGGAAATAGCAGATTCAAGGAAAACGAATTAGTAAAATAGAACAAACAGTCACGAAGTTACAGCTATGTAGGTCATTTTTTCATCAGTAAATTTTGGAGATTTCGGATTCGTAAAACGTGTTTAAAATATATTGGATCCCAAAGCCACTACCCATTCTAGAAAGTATACTTATCAGAAATGTATTATTTTCGGAAACAGGAGACGAATTCACGAAATAACGGCCAATTTCGATTATTTTCAAGCCATTAATGGGAATTCTTCACTCGTAAACAACTTTGTCGGCATGAAAAACATCAGAGGCGAAATTCGAAATTTTGAAATATCCAAATTACAAAAATTCGATCATGAGCCGGGCTACCCAGAAATGTATTAATTTCAGGATTCAATTCAACAAACTACGGCCTATTGTGTTCCTTTACAAGCCCGTCAATTTAGATTGTTCAATATTTTTCATAGTCAATTCAAAATGGTGGCCATCAGTTGACCTAAATCAAAATTCTGCTCAGAACGTTTTTTAGGCATTACTTCAAGGATTCAGAAATTGTAACTGCCATGTCTGTAAGTAAAATACCACAAAAGCCTTAGGGATTTTTCACGTTTCAGGATGGTTCAATCGATTGACTTCATATTTTGTGTACGCATCAGTAATTCCTTAGCTAGTACAAAAAACGAAAATTCAAGGCAATCTGACCTATATTTTGTTGATTCTTTTTATTTTGATCCTTAATTTATCCAAGATGGGATAAGTTAAAAAATTTCTAATGACATCTTTCAAGTCACATTAGTACGATCTACTTATATTCCAAATTTCACGAAAATCTTGCAAGTATGAAAGAAGTTGTCAAGTTCGTCTCAACTTCCCTGTTGAAATCACAGCGACGAATTTTCAAATTCGAAAATCGGAAATTGCTGGTGAAAATGAGTTTCCTCAAGGTACTCAAAGAATTTTTTTTTAGCAAAATAGGTAATAAAAAAAAGCCGAAAAAGTTACGACTATGCATTATTAGTTTTTTTCGTTCGTAAAATTCTATGAGGTCACCATCTAGAAAGTGAAAAGTCGAACAAAATTCAAAGTGAAACCGGAAGTAAACAAAATCGAAATTCAAAACTCGGAGGACTCGGAAATTTCCGGAGGTTTCCGGAAGCCGTCATGAAATTTGTTGATATGCCATTTTGAAGGCATCGATGTGTTCCTTATTCCTACCGAGTTTCAGCTTGATATCTCAAAAAAGTAATGGTGATACGCCATCTTGAATGCAGAAAAAATGATGAAGAAAACTTTTGCAAAGCTTTGATGCTACAACTAATCGAGCGAACTTCCGAAATTCAAAAAACATTCTGTCAGAGCCCATATGGGATTACTCCAAAGAATTCAAAAACGAAAACCCGAAGAAGATCCGTTGAGAAATAACCGAGATATCTGCAATCTGCGATTATTTTTAGTCTCATCCGTTAAACACTTCCTGTTTGTGAAACAATCTGAGACACTTCCTGTTTGTTAAAAATATTTTATATTTAGTTCCATATGCATATATGAAAGCTTTCATATTCATCGTCACGTGTCATGGATTATATCAAAGACCTAATCCTTAATTGCTCCAGGGGGGGGGGGGGGGTTACAAGGTAGAAAATTTATAATGATATCGTTGAAGTTGGATCAACCAGATCTACTTACATTCCAAATTTCATGAAAATCGTACTAATATCCCAAAAGTTGTCATGTTGGTTTTACTTCCGGGATGAGATATCAATGACGTAATATTCGAATTTCAAAAATCGGAAATAACAGGTTTGAAGTAAATGTTTAAAGGTACTCAAAAAAAAAAGAATTAGTAAAATAGATCAAATAGTCACAAAGTTACAGCTATGTGGGTCAGTTTAATCATCAGTATTTTTGTGATTTCCGATTCGTAAAACGTTTTGAAAACATATTAATTTCCAAAGACACCACCCATATTTGGAAGGAGGCTAACTAGAAATTATTAATTTGGAAAATAGGAGACGAATTCACGAAAAAAAAAAGAATTAGTAAAATAGATCAAATAGTCACAAAGTTACAGCTATGTGGGTCAGTTTAATCATCAGTATTTTTGTGATTTCCGATTCGTAAAACGTTTTGAAAACATATTAATTTCAAAAGACACCACCCATATTTGGAAGGAGGCTAACTAGAAATTATTAATTTGGAAAATAGGAGACGAATTCACGAAACGGCAGCCGATTTTAATTATTTTCAAGCCGTTAATGGGAATTTTTTACTCATAAACAACTTTGTCGGCACGAAAAACGTCAAAGACGAAATTCAAATTTTTGAAATATTCAAATACCAAAAATTCGACCATGATCCAATCGATCCTAAAATGTATTAATTTCAGAAATAGGGGGCGCAATGAACATACTACATCCTATTGTGTTTATTTACAAGCCTGTTAATGTAGATTTTTTTACTATTTTTCATATTCAATTCAGAATGGTGACCGTCAGTTGACCTTAATCATAATTCTTCTTTAAACCTTTTTTTTAGGAATTTCTTCATGGATTCAGGGGGATCACGTAGCAGTTGGAATTCGATATAAGAGTAGGCCGTAGTGCCGCTGTCCGGGCAAAATTTCCCTCATTGCACACTGCATGGCATATGCCCGTCTTCATTAGCCCAGTTCGGAGCAAAACAGTAGGACGTCCATTTCATTTCATTTCATGCATTCAGAAAATATAACTCCCATGTCTGTAAGTAAAATATGGCAAGAGCCTTAGGGATTTTTCACGTTTCAAGATGGTGGCACTTCCGGTTCGATCGATAAACTTCATATTTTGTGAACGCAGCAGTAATGTCTTAGCTTGTACATGAAATAAATTTCAAGCCAATCTAACCTATATTTTGTCGATTTTATTGAAAAATTTTATCGTCAATTTCTCCAAGGCGAGATAATTTAGGAAATTTCTAATGACATCTTTAAAGTCACATTAGTAAGATCTACTCACATTCCAAATTTCATGAAAATCGTGCAAATAGTAAAGAAGTTGTAAAGTTGGTCTCAACTTCAGGGACGAAATCACAGCGACGAATTTTCGAAATTCGAAAATCTGAAATTTCAGTTGATAATGATTTTATTCGAGGTACTCAAAGAAAAAAGAATTAATCAAATAGGTCAAAAAACCACCAAGTTACGACAATGCATTGTCAGTTTTTTTCGTTC